GATGGTAATAAGTTGACATGAGGCCCATTGATGGGCCAAGAAATGGAAGTCCCGGGGTTGCTTGGGAGCCTCGGAACTCAGGCCCATTTATTAGGCCCAAACATGTGGGTGAGCACAAAAGAGAAAATATCCCAACCAAAATGGCCTATTGACTCAACCAAAAAAAGCCCAATGCTTGATAGAGATAGCCCACTTACTCAATAAACCAACTTGGCCCATACAATTACAATAGAAGAGCTGCAAAGCTCCAGCACCTGGCTAAAGAACAAAGCCACGAAGGAAAGTCTGGAGGTCCACTATGTAGAGTTGCTGGGAAAGTTCCAGCACATGGGAGGAACAAGTTTCAAGTAAAAACTTCCAAAGGACCAAGGGATATTGGAGCGCAGATCACCGTTTGAACCAGCATGCATACCCATTCTCTTTGCCTCATCAGACCTGGCCATAAAAAAATAAAAATAAAAGAAAGGAAAGGAAGGAGATTGCTGAAAATGGGAGTTCTGAGGTAGCTGCGGGAAACGGCCTTGAGCTCCCAAAAATCCCTGATTTTGTGCAAATAGACTGAGGAAATTTCACCAAGATGGGAAAAGTCAAGGGAGGAGAGAAGAAAGGAAGGGAAAGACTTGGCCAAATTGGATAGAAGCCATTAGGGTTTCTTGAAAGGGTAGCTTCCAGAGCCTATAAAAAGAGGCATTTCCTACCCATCATCACAACACACATCCAGAGAGCAAGCTTCCTCTCTTGCATGCAAAACCCAGCAATTTCGTGCTCCATTCTCCCTTCTCTCCCATTTTCCCTCTTCTGGCAGACTGTTCTCACATTTGACAGAACCTCTGTCAAGCTGCCAGAAGAACACTTAAGACACCCATTTCTTTCTCCCCCCTTTTTCTCAGCCAAACCTGCTTGCAAACCTTCCCTTTCTTACCTTAACACTCCCCTTTTCCCCTAAGTACGCATAATTTTCTCTTCGGTGCTCAACTCATGTCGATTTTGCTCCCATACCACAAGCTTCTCATGCCAAGCCAAGAATTTATCTATAAGCAATCATTATTTTCGTTGGTGAAATTATCCAAGGTGTTTCCTAAGGCTTTACAACCCTTTCGAAACATTTTGGGGTTTGATCTTTGAACTCAGACACAAGGGGGATATTTTCTTTAGTTTTCTCCTTACGGGAGCCTAGGCCCGCAGTAGCTGCCGAAACGAAAAAGCCCCTACATATTTTAATTTAATTATGGAATGTTATGTCATACAGGGAACTATGCATTAATTTTCTTTTGGACATATGAAGACATCATTCTTTCACAATAAATAGTGTTGTTTGTATTGTCAACCTCAATTGAATTCAACAATTTGATTTACAACTGTTAGAGATTACAAAATTCCAATGCCCTTTGTGTATGCTATGAATCTATGATTCATTTTAAGACAGAGCTAACGGCAGTGGAAGATAGGAGTGCTTCCAACAGTGGAAGAGACAGATAAATAAATCATAAGGGCCTCTCCATACTCCGGTTTAGATAGGAGTGCTTCCTTACTCATGTAGTTCTTAAGCTCATTAAAGTCTTTGTCGCATTTGGGAGTCCAGATGATGTTGTGCTTGTTACCATTGAAGAATGGGGCACACCAATCGATACCCTTTTGTCGAACGAGTCGTATAACGGGTTCAATGCTAAGCTGATAAGAGATAACTTCAGGGGATATACCAAGCATGTCACTATAGGACCAGACAAATACTTCGGTATTCTATTGCATGAAGGCAATGAGATTAGTGTGGAGCTTGTTTTCCAGCCAAAGGATAGCAATTGCGAGCGCTAAGTTGGTTACCCCTTACTGTTTTTGTCTCATAGAGTACTTCATCATCAATTTGTGTATGGAGATGAAGATGCGCATCTGTGCCAAGACTGTGCGCCCTAAGATTACATTGTAAGCGATAGAATGGTCAACGATGGCGATAGGCAAATTGATGATGTACCAATGGTGATAGGCAAGTTGATGTTGTCGATGGGTTGGACAACATCGCCAGAGAAGTTAATTAAAAGTGTAATGTGCCAATTAATCAAGTGATAATCCACTTGGAGGGTATTGAAAGCTTCGGCGAACATGACGTTGTTGGAACTGGCAATGTTAATGAGCACTCCTGCAACATCAAAATTAGAAATGTATGCCTGAATGATCAGGGGATTGTCATTGGGAAAAATGACACTGCGCTCTTCCTCCTCTCTTTGACATTTTCGGCATACGCTCATGCTCGGCACTGAAGACCTGATGTGCAGAGCAAGAGCAAATGTAATGCTTCATGAATCAGTAAGAGGTGACAACTAAAATAGGTCCACCACTGATAGTGAAAATCATGTTGATTTGTTGTCGGTGAGTAGGTTCGGCAGAGTGGTGTGGGTCACATACATGTCGAGCTTACCCTCCTGACTTCAGTAATGTTTCACAGGGCAATGCAAGACTATGTCGCGCCAGTTAAACTAGTTGAAAAGGCAGAAGACACCAGTATCAGCCACGGGTTTGTTAGTTGGCCCTCTGATAGGAGGCTTAGGTATCATCGGTGCCTTATTGACCAAGACCTGCTCATAAGTGAAGTTGAGTGTGGTGAAGATTTCAAACTGTGGCTTGGGTTCAAATGATAAAGGTGCAAGTTCGCCATTTTTTTGTAACGTGTGGCCACCAGAACCATAAGAGTCGAGGAAAAATCTGGTTTGACAGTTCTTTACCATGCTTGGTGTTATCGAAAGACAGTTGATAACCCTCATTCCTTTTAAAATTGTGACTGCGTGGTGCATAATTGGAAGAACAATAGCGGTTAGTCCTTTAAGAGTTTTGTGGTTGTTTGGGGTACAGATGGTATGTGAGTCGTCATATGTAGCACGTTCCCGAATGTGGTTGTCAAATTTAATTTAATTTGGTGGGGATGAAGATGAGCAAAAGTTGTAACTTCATATATACACATTTTATTTTTTTCAAGAAATTAGCAAGCACCTGTAAAACTCCGAGAAACATTGTAATCTTCATCTCCCATGCCTTGGAATCACCACATTTCTTCAAAACCAAAAAAATATATAAATCAACTTTCAAAAATCAATACCATGGCATCTCCCATACCTTGGAATCAGCAAGAACCATTTATCACCACATTTCTTCGAAACCAAAAAATATATAAATCAACTTTCAAATATCAATACCATGGCCTCAAGCACTTCCACCAGGCCGGCCCAAATATTTTTAGGCCCACTTATAAAAGAAACCAAGAAAGAACTTTACTTCTCCAGATTTCACTTTTTGAGTCTAAAAAAAAAGCCCTTTCACTAGAGAAACAACAAATGGGCCTCCCTTTTATTTTTTTTATTTTTTATTTTTTATAATCAATTTCCTGACCCAATATGATATCTGAATTTTTATTTACCTAATTTGTTGGAACTCGTGAAAATTTAATTGGTTCGGCCGTGGTTTGAGGGTCAAACCGGACCAAACCGGACCGTGCCCACGCCTAACTACTGCTTTGATTGCCTAAATCAAATTGATGAATGAATATGATTAATAATCAATTTAAAAATCTAGAGAGTGGGTCTTTTGTGATTTTTTTTGCTTTGTATAATTATTTTTTTCCTTTGTATTATTATTTTTTTCCTTTGTATATAAGAAAATAAATGCAATTGACTTTATTAAGTATCGGTTTGGTTCTATTTATGGATTATGAATTTTATTTAGTTGTATATTAGAGCCTCAATATCTTTCTTTCCACGGGGTCTCCAAAATCAATGGACGGCCGTGATTTCCACCCTCAAATTCTTCTCACTACTTATAATCTCTGCGTTCGCCGTCATTCAAACGGCAATGGCCGGAGACCCCGACATTGAAAGCGACTTCATAGTGGCTCCAACCACAACGGTAGATGCAAACTTCTTCACATTCACTGGCATGCGTGCTCTTGTTGGAGGAGCCCCTCCCACAACCTTCAAGGTATTGAAGGCAACCTTGGCAGAGTTTCCAACTCTCAACGGCCAGAGTGTCTCATATACCGTCCTCCAATTCCCATCCGGCACTACGAACCTCCACACACTCATCCTAGCTCCTCTGAGCTCCTCTTCCTTGATTTGTTACATCATTTGTCACATCACCATTTTTCTGTTGGTGGAATCATACGTACTCTCTCTCCACTTTATGTTTTACAGAGAATCTATGCTGCTGCAGATTTTTCCTGGCCAGAATATGGGTCAAGAAGGACTTGGGCCTTCAGATTCTGGCACGTATGCCCTCCCGGTGGCATCTCTAGTTTACTTGAGGATGATAAACTAGTTGCTGTGTAGAAAGAATACACGCATGTTGATGACTTAGTCAAATACAAGACAACAAGGGCGGATCCAGGAATTTTAATAGGAGTAGACTAATTTTTCTTTCTTAAAGAAATTGGCATTCATGTCGCTAGTGTGGGAGACTTTTTTCCCATCACACGCATGGGGGAGACTTTTTTCATATCATGCATAGCGCAACTCAAACTTTAACAAACAAACCCTAAATCATAAAAACTTAACAATAACAATTAAAATTGAAAATTAAATAAAAATAAAGAGAGAAACTTACTAAGATTGAAGAACCCACTAAAGATATGTTGATACAATTTTGGAGAGGAAGAGAGTCACTTCTTCTTTGGTTCTCTCGTGCTTTTAGGCTTCTTTTTTTTTTTTTCGTTTGGCTTGGCTTGCTTCTTGGTTGGAGATTTTCTTTTTTCTTTTTTTTCAGTCAGATGGTTGGAGGCTTTTGTTCTATTATTTTCGTAGGTTTTTTCTGGGCTTAGTGGATTTCTTATCCACTCCTTGTTTGTGGGGTTAAAGATGGCTAAGTGGGTAGCCTTCTTTTTATATAGAATGCTAGGTTGACTTGGGTATAGAGAGGTAGGCCGGTTTATAAAATTCCTAAGTTAGCCTACACCTTTAAGCTTATTTACTAAATCAGGACTGGGCTGGAGTGGGCCGTCCTTGCATGACAACAACATGTTGATCATCAAAAGGAAAGTTGACCCAGAGATGAACTCTGAACCATTATTAATATATACTAGATATATAGATGGAGCATTCAGAATATATCAGTGACACTTATTTCGTTAACAATAATTTTAAAGAATAATATTGAAATTTGTAATTTTTTTTGGTTCCAAGTTTTATTATATTCTACAGGTAATTTTCCGACAACCCAGTTAGAAAAGCTCTTGCAAATGGGAACAAATAACTCCTCAATTAATTAATAAAATGATTGGTAAAGGACTCAATAGTGTAGTGGTTTGAAGTAATTACTCTCTTAGACAAGGTCCTAGGTTCAAGTCCTATTATCCGTATAATGTGTGTGAGTTAAGTATACTATCGCCCCTCTCAATAGGAAAAGTTCTAAAAAACAATCGCACATCTCAAAAGCCATTATCTCGTGTTTTTCCTCACTATCCTTTTTTTTTTTCGGTTGACAACGAGTTGATTGGGTGTCGGCAGTTTCCATGTCTTGATAATGACCTGATTCACGATCAGTGGGAATGCCTCATTTAATTAATTAAATACTACATGATCAATTGAAGAATAACAGCTTCATATATATATATAAATGTAAATAGTCCTCGTTTTGTATTATAAATTAAATAAACCGATTTTCATCATGATTTCACATGAAGAGAGAGAAAATTGTAAGGTCCCTACCACCTCATAGTTTATCCTGATTCCTGTGGGTAGGAAACCTAATCCGCCTGCGCATGTTTAAAAGAAAAATGTCTCCTATTGTAGTTGTGCGAAAGAAACGGTATAGTGAAGAAGACTTTCTCCAAAGATAATTCAATGTTTTCAGGTTAGTGTTTTTAGATGATTACGTACTTAGGATTTACAGTTCACATTGAAGATTACTAAATGTTACTCTTCTATAAAACCTGTAAAGCATCTTTGGGTAACAACAAATTGAAGAGAGCTATGGCCAAATGATAACCAAAACGAATTCTTCTTTACTACCCATAATATCTAAAGGATAGTTTGGCATTGCTATGCTGTGAAAATAATCGTTGTCAGATTTGCTGTGAGATAAATCAGTTTAGCGTTTGGTAAATTTTTTGTTTAAAATGTTGTTGATACTGATTCCCGCATAATCAAATGATTGCTACATAATCATTAAACTCAGCACCTCTTCAAAACTGATTCCTGTATAATCAGAAAATGAAAGCACCTCATTAGATGATTTCTCTTATAGCTTTCTCGCACATCAATTTTTAATAACAAGTGATTTTCACATTGTTTACCAAACGGGCTGGGCTTCCCAAATTTTTTTAAAAATCACTTATCACCCCAAACAAGCAATGTCAAACAGGCACTAAGACTAAATTCTTGCAGCTGTAAACTTTAAATTTTTAGAAACTCTGAATCTTCGGGCAGCCAACATTGTTACCGAGTTTTAGGCATAAATAGCGACAACATTATCAGTGTATTACTCGTCACTTTGGGGATTATTCTGCTTTGCCGTTGCAAATTTATTTTCATTGCAAAAGAAAAACAAAAAAGGGAAGAAGAAAAACGAATAACTCTATGTTTTCAACGTCAAAGAATGCAACTTAACAACTCATGCGACAAAAGAATAGTCCAAAGTGAAATGTACTCTGTATATGTAACCATATGTCAAACAGTCAAAGTAGAAAACAGTTCCTTGTACATCAAATTCAGCTCCACTCATGTAGAATAGTCTATAGATACATGAAAATGTCTAAAAACAAGTGATAAAGACTGAGAATACAATCCCATGGTATTCAAGAGCATTTTGTTTTTCAAATATCTTTCACAGTTTTGTTTCGTATGTGCCTGTCCTTCGAAAGACGGATCTATATACTAACGCAAGATTTAAAAATACTAGAGTTTGTGGGATTATTCTGCTTTGCCGTTGCAAATTTATTTTCATTGCAAAAGAAAAACAAAAAAGGAAGAAGAAAAACGAAAAACTCTATGTTTTCAACGTCAAAGAATGCAACTTAACAACTCATGCGACAAAAGAATAGTCCAAAGTGAAATGTACTCTGTATATGTAACCATATGTCAAACAGTCAAAGTAGAAAACAGTTCCTTGTACATCAAATTCAGCTCCACTCATGTAGAATAGTCTATAGATACATGAAAATGTCTAAAAACAAGTGATAAAGACTGAGAATACAATCCCATGGTATTCAAGAGCATTTTGTTTTTCAAATATCTTTCACAGTTTTGTTTCGTATGTGGCTGTCCTTCGAAAGACGGATCTATATACTAACGCAAGATTTAAAAATACTAGAGTTTGGTGCAAATTTTACAACGTTGTTCATACTCCCACAAATATCAGCCTATCCCTCCTTGCGACATGTAGTCCAATCAAATTCCGCTGCTTTTTCTTCCTCCTCATCATTTTCTCTTCTTTTTTTGTTTCTATCTGCATTTTTGTTTTTTTTATTCTTCTTTGTATTCGGCTTATTTTCTCTTCCTCACTCTAGCGCAATATAATACTTATCAAGGTTAGCAGGAAGGGGAGAGAAGGAGAAAGGGTTTTTTAGATTTTTTTTGTTTTGTTTTTAATAAAAGAATATGTTATTTTATTATTTTATTTGTTATTTTTTGGTTGGTTTTAAAACATTTTAGAAGATGTTATGTTTTTTTTTTTTCACTTGGAGTCCCCAAATCCAAGAAAAATATTAGCCCACTTATGAAAAAATTCCTAGGTCCGTGATGCT